TATATATATATATATAATATTTATAGTATATATAATATTTATAATATAAACTTATGAGCGAAAGATTTGAAGCAAGTAACATTTACTTGAATACAGTATGCTTTTCTCTGCGTAGAGAGATAGAAACAATAGTAGATAAGCTGATAGTAGACGATAACTAATGTAAAATATAAGCAGCAAGAAACAGCTATATAGTTGAAATTAGTCATCGTGAGCAACGGCTTTTATTTGTCCGCATATCGCGGGCATATAGTGTCCGAAAATAATGCGATAGAAATTTGTAAAGATAATTGGGAAACGCAAGAGAACGCGTCATCTCTCGTCTGTAAATTCCCGTGGCTTGTATATGTTGACGCACAGAGAGAGAGAGCCCTCGGCGATGTGCTTGGCGTCGGTCGATTTGTCGCCGGGACGAGATATATTATTTTAGTATCGGGTTCACACAAAAGGCCCTTCGTGCTGTTTATTTAACTTGAACTTCTTTATCCTTCTTACTTTACCTCTGCGCTTCCTCCCTGCTGTTCCGGATGCCATCCCCGACGCTTCAGAGAGAGAGAGAGAGAGAGAGAGAGAGAAAGAGAGAGAGAGACTATATTCTCCGAGGCAAATTGCACACAATGTGTAAGCATACAATAAAATATTTCGACTGTGCAACAATCAACCCGTGAATGCGAATTAGATCACACGTGAAGGGAAATTTGCGGAAGTCTTAGAAATATCTTTTATTCGACTAGTTGACATGCTTTGGTATTAATTACGATTACAATATTACATGATATTGCATTAATCGAGTATTTGACAAGTCAAGAATTTTTTAGGTCGTTCGACTTCGTGATTTCTTGTCTTCTCTTTTTTCTCTGTATAACAAGGCAAGATTGATATTTTCGTCCATTTTGCTTACTTAGGTTATCTCACTAGACACATATGCATACGGGAATTGCACTTTTTTTATAACAACAATATATAAGAGCGCAAAAGGCGTAAATCGAGACGCAAGCATTCACACATGTGCGTGTATTAATACACCCAACAAACAGTAAGTAACAATTATATAACTGTTAGTTATAATCTCCCACTCAATAATATAACTGTTATATAACGCGTGTGTTATATATAACAGTTATATTGTTGGAAATTATAACTAACAGTTATATAACTGTTACTTGGTGTTTACTGGGCATATATCCCAGTGAAAACATCAACTGTGACAGTAACATTATATCAATATTACAATTTTCCACTCAACAATGCAACTGTTTACACAATATCCGCGTTATATTGCATTTACATTGTTGAGCGGAAAATTACAACATTGATGTTATGTTACTGATTGTTGGTGTTCACTGAGATATCCGCAATATCAATGTATCGTGTCTCATTGTCACATGTGTGTACAAACGTCGGAGTGTCGCGCGTTAAGATTACAAATCAATAAATAGTAAAGGAGTAAGGCACTCTCCGGAATAAATAAGCCGTGGGAACGACGGTCCCGTCGTCGTGGTAGTCGTGTAACTTGGCTGATGGTGCTCGTTCTCATCGTAGATATCGCTCTAGTTGTAATCGCTCGAGTTCCGATCGGATTGTCAGGGGGTTTTCCCTTCTCTTTTTTTCTTCTTCTTCTTAGAAATAAGAGAGCTGTTGCTCCTGACTGTGGCGCGTCGACGCACCCTGATGCCCCGAATGATGGAAGTTTTGTATATCATGAGTTGCCTGCTGTCCTCGATATTGATTACAGCCCGAGGAAGTCGAAGAGGACACACTGCAACTGTTGTTCATCAGCGTCGCGGCGTTGCTGTTTTGTATAGCGAATGGCCACGACTGCAATTGACATGGTGTTATCGTTATTCCCTTCATCGCGATACATATTATTAGCGCTCGGCGGTCGTATAATCGGTTAGATCGATATAACGGTTTTCTTGAGTATTATTAGAGGCAATCGAAGTTTGCTGAATTATTCGTCGAATATTGAGCAGTTTGGGCAAAATTGAATTAGGTATCGTACCCAGCATCGCGTATCGCACTGATTTATGACATCGTCGCATGAAACATCTGTCAATCGCGTTATCAACGCGCGCGTCGCCGTCGACATCACGTCGATCCACGTTGCTTGGGGATTTAGCGTAGAAACTTAGCCCCGAAGATAAAAGTCGTTCTTTGATCTTCACGAGAGAGCTAGGACTCGAGGGAAGGCGGCTATTTCGCGGAGGGGAACGCTTCTCCTTTTTCTCCTTCTTCTCCTTGTTCTTCTTCAAACAACGGAACTAACTTAGAATTAATGGCGGCAAAGGGTGGGTGGAAGGTTTTTCGGGTGATTCGGTCCACCTGGACAGACATAAACAGAGAGTGGATGACTGCGAAGACGGCGCTCGCCTCGCGATTCCGAGTGGATCCACCTGGATCCGGTGTTGTTTTATGCCTTTATGGAATCGTCATCGAGTCAACAATCTGATTGCAGTAGCGCGAAATAGCTCGGGGATCGTTCGAATTTCCAGGGTAGAACGAGATTGTTTTCCTCTTCGTTAATCTCCGTTACATCGAGAGAGAAAAAATATCTAAAAGATAAAAGATATTTACTCCGTGGGTATTAATAACGTTTCAACTTAAATCTAAATTCCTTCATCTAAATGGAATAAACAATTGCTCTCGTGAAAAGTTAAAGTTTCGAGAAAAAGTATGCTTTCTTATTTGACAAATATTTGGTGTATTAGTATAATTAAATATACGTTATTATAGTACCCATCTAATAAGTATTTTTTTAATTCTTAGATACTTATTTCTCTCTCAGTGTAAATCCATCTGTCGCGGAGCGATTTCCGACCTAGTTTTCCCTCGTTAGCGTTATTATCGAGAAATTGTTTAAGAATCCCTCACAAAAATATCCGTAACAAGTTAAGTTTACGGATTTCTTTGTGCGTTGACTTAAGTTTAATTTTACGTATAGGTATAGCCATTGCATTTAGTAGCATTTTGTTAGTACTTAACGTAATATAACATGTTACAGATGTGTTTGTGCGTTGGCTCTAAGATTAGTCGTTGCTATCGACGAATTTTGTCCAAAGTTAGCCGATTGAGTTCACTATCATCCATTGGAGACGGAATTAGGAGTGCGGGAGAGGTCGGTCAGATTTCAGTTAGGTTCAGGTTTTGTAAAAATAGACGTGGACACTCACCAAGGTAAGCGACAAGGACTTGGTGGTCTCAGGATGAGCCTCGCCGTCGTCCCTGAGCACCGCTCGCAGATGGGCGATGTAAGTCGCGGCAAGACGCAACGTGTCAAGCTTGCTCAACTTGGTGTCTGCTGGCACCCAGGGCAAGGTTGTCTTCAATCTGCAGAATGCTTTGCTAAGGACACGCATTCTCGCGCGTTCACGGGCGTTGGCCGCATTCCGCGGCGCTCGACTGTCCATGTCGTCCTTCGCGTACTTCTCTTCCGAGGGATACTCTTCCAACGACGAGGTCGAGGCGCGCCTCTTCCGGGGCATCTTGCCGCGCAGAGTCGGACGAACTTGATCTCGAATGAAGATTCATCAAGCTTAGAGAATGTGTTAACGAACAGTTTCTCCCGAACAACGCCGACAAGTTGCTGCCCGATTTTGACTCGAAGTTAGATCGTTTCGAATTTTCATCTCAATCAACCTTTCTTCGAATCAATTGCCCAGCACGATAGCGCTTCAGATAGCACAGAGAGTTCAAAAAGAATTCAGTCATATGTCACCAATTCTGAATTCAATTTTGGGTGCAAAAAGAATTTTTTTCACTGAACTAAACTTTGAAGAATTCTTTTTGCATCTGAAAATGAACTCAGAATTGGTGACATATGACTGAATTCTTTTTGAATTTTTTTGAATTGTCTGTGTTATCTGGGGTGATATTCGTACTATTAATAGTACCGGTGAATTCAGGCATTTCGTAATTAATTATTCAAGCAACGAAAACTGTCGTCTCTCCTCTTTAGCAGCTTTACGCGGTTACAAGATCCTCGTGTCAATTTTTATGACAGCAGGCAGCTGTAAATATTTTCCTTTCCCTTGAATTAATTTCACGCAAATATGGAAAACTCCGCACATACATATCGAGCAACGGCAAGTATGCAAAGTTATGCTGATATAACGCAAATGCAGGAAAACAGAGATTAGCATTTTAAGCTGCGTTTAACATTAGATAGATACGTTTGACAGGTCTGACCTTTATTCACGTGTGAACTTGATGTATCTCTAACACGAAGATCTTGTAATGAGAAACGAGAAATGCGATACTATACATATAGCATTGCGCGTGATTCCGAGTGAAGAGATAACCGCTGGAAAACGTCTCTTTAAAATGTAGTCTGAGATGAAAACATGCGTTTTTGAAGTCAGCAATCTCAACTGGTATTTAAATCCGCACTTTGTGCACTACTCAAGATTTTCATGCGCGATATTTTGTTTGATCTTAATGCACTTTCATCAAGAGAGAGAGAGATATCACTTGTGACGTAAAATAAGAAATCGAGAGACTGAGAAAAAAGAAAATTGACAAATTCCGGAGAGACAAACGACTGTTGATACAGGCATGACTGTTGACTCGAAAACCGACACTCGACCCTCAATCTCGCGAATTCGAGAGGCAATCGTAAAATTGTTTTTCGCGTAGCGGAATAATATAGATACTACTTCCGAAAATGGCTGCGCAATCAACTCATGTCATCACCGTCTGTGTCACACTCGCGTTTGTCTCTACGCATCCTGGCTGTTCAACGAACGATGCAATTTGCTCGATGTACCTGCTGATCGTGATCGATGATTCCTTTTTGCGAGTGTCTATCGGCGGAACGTCGCGATAGGCCAGGTCTCCGGCGCTAAACTAATTGGTGGTCCAAGTTCTTGAGCGGAGTCGAAGAGAGGACCAAGTGGAGGAACCAGAGCGAACAGAGAGAGAGAGAAAGAGAGAGAGAGAGAGAGAGAGAGAGAGAGAGAGAGAGAAAGAGAGAGAGAGAGGAAAAGAGAGATACATAGTTAAACGAGAGACAAGGAATATTGGTTGGAGGGGTACGAGACTTGGGACGTCCCGAAAACCAGGCGGAGTCTTTAAACATCTGAGCTCTAGCCTCATTCGCCTCATCTTATTTTCCGTGATGCCGCTCTCCAATCGCGCGGATGCTGCGACATTCGTAGCCACCTGGTACATCCTTCCGCTCGCTTCTCTTCCTCTCGATCAGAACGCTTGGAAAGACTTGCCGAGGTCTCGCAATTAAACACTAACTATGACAATCTAATTCCGTACTTTATCATGAGTTCTGTTTTTTTCTATTTACAACCGTATGTTCTCTTCGAGAGAAGCGTCGTCTTTTCTCGACCACGTTCTTTCATCCGAGTAACTGAGCAACTGAGCGAGTTTTTATTTCATTTATTTCAATTTCTCGAGTCTGTCTAAATGACAGGCACAATAAACGCAGCTCCGCGCTTATAATAATCTCAGGTAGAATGGAAAGTCACGATGAAGTCAAAATGACGAGAAAATGATCGAGAAGTGAGTCATTTTTCCGTAACTTCCATATCGTATATATCCATATTTTGACGTCATTATAATTTTCTATTCTGTTTTGAGTAAGATACGAATTTTTCGTGTGATAAGATGACGTAGTCATTTCGATATGCCTCATTTTAAACCATTCTTCTTTTTCCAACTAGCCCTCTGACACATTAGTCGTGTAAGCACACATGTTCCTCCCTACCCTCATTCATTTGCCTACGAAGAAAAGAGTCGGTAGATCTATTAATCCACGTTTCGTCGAAATTAGGATTCGAAATGGATCCTGTAATATGAGGTTTGCGGTGACCCCACTGATCCTACTTAGTGTCTTGAAGAAGGCGTTAAGTTATTGCTCTTCGACAAATCCGTGAAAGATCCGGCAACTCGACACCCACTAATTTTTCCCCGACCACGTGCGCGTCTCGCGATATATATTGATTGAATGAAAAACTGCACTGTAAATCTGTAGCGAGCTATAAGTAACAAGCAGTGTATCTTGTATCGATCTATATCGAGAGAGAGAGAGAGAGAGAGAGAGAGAGAGAGAGAGAGATTTTAAACGAATATAATGTTAAATCATATCTCTTGTTTATCTGACACGTTGATCTAATTAATGATTGCATTTAAGATTAAAATTAATATTAAAATTTAAGGTTAATTGGATAACACGAAAACGCAGTAAACATTTACTCTGCAATTATTCAGGATCGGATTTAAAAATAAATTAAAAAAACGTTGAACCCAAATAGCACAAAGAATTAAAAAAAATTCAATCATATGTCACCAATTCTGAGTTTATTTTTACATGCAAAAAGAATTCTTTTTGTACGTGAAAATAAACTCAGAATTGGTGACATATAATTGAATTTTTTAAAAATTCTCTGTGCTATCTGGGAATATACTACCTGGTAAATACGTATATATGCACCTACGAAACATTTTTGGATAATGTAATAAGTTATAAAATTGATAAAGTATTACAAATAAAATGTCTGGATATTTATATTGAATAAACGAGAACAGCCGGTAAAGCTGCGTTCTGCAAGTACCTCCGAATCCTGTTGGACGGATCATCTAGCAGCAGGCGTTTATTTCCTTGACCTAAACCGTCAAGTAACATAAAATATACTTCTAGATGTGCAACTACACAAACCTGGCCATGTACTTATTTTTTTGATAGGCACTTATTCTGAACTTTCTTTTATCAACAAAAGTGCCTCTAATGTCCACTAATGTTCTTAAACGCCGATTAAATCTTAATCTGAGTTTAAGTTTTTGTCTGAAAACAGTGTTTAAACTCAAGTTAATTGACGTTGGTGTGTGAAAGCGAGCATAAATATGACTCAAACTCGGTTGTAGAATAGTTTAAATAGTTGACATAGTTGAATAGTTTAAATAGTTGACATATTTCTCCTCATCCCTGAAATTTTACACGCCGCGTCCACAAAAATATCTTATGCTACGTGCAGATATTCTACGTCCTCTCTCTTGTCTTTGGTTATTTTACTTGGGCCGCGGTCCGAAAAGCGCTCACAGCACTCACAGTGGTGAGAGCGTAAACACTGTTCTGAAATCATTAGCGCGCTTAAGCACTGCTCATTTCGGAACGCACTCTCTGTGTGCTGCATACGATATCTGAAGAAAGTTAAAGACACTGTGACAAGTCATCGAGTACAGACAAAATAAGAATATTCCACATTTCTTCACATTGCTTTTGATTTCTTTTTTTTTTATTCACTTTTTACCAATTCGATCAAAAAGGTTGCATCTGTAGGAATTACGTTACAGAAAATTAATTACGATAGTTAATAAAATTAATTAAGATAGTTTATGTAACATAAATTTTACTAAAAAGTCTAAGATCATAAATATAACCTCTCACGAAGTGCTTTTTTTTCTTACCTACTGCAGCTTTTTTTTTTATCTCCGATGTTACTTTCAAAATTATTGTTTCTTTTCTATCTTCTAAATATACGGGTAATTCCTCCAAATCTTCTGCAACCATTTTTATTGTAATACACTTACTTCAATCAGCGAAAATATTTACATATGTATGTTGATGTTATACTATTTCCCAGATCGATAGTCACTAAAAAGTTTTGACCAGCCGTGTCCGTTTCTAGCTGATCGTTTTTCATGACTGTTGATTCATCCGGCAAGCGGAAATGTGTCAAAATAGAAGTGACATTTTGACAGCTTGACATTTCATACATACGTATTTTTATCAGAAGTTTATCTGCTCACATGTAACGCGCAATCAGTAGAAGAAGAGTAAGAATGTTAAAAAAGATAAGTAAGAAGTTTTTACTTTATTCGAATAAAGTAGAATGTTTATTAATAACGAATAATTTGAGAGCAAATCGCGTGAAAATATTAAAAGCAGAGACTCTTTGTGTTGTATGTGTGTAAGTTTATTATAATTTTGTATATTAACTTCTTACTTACCTTTTTTAACATTCTTATTCTTCTTCTACTGATTACGCGTGAGCGGATAACCTTCTGATAAAAACACGTATATATGAAACGTCAAGCTGTCAAAATGTCACTTCTATTTTGACACATTCTCGCTTGCCGGATGAATCAACAGTCATGAGAAACAATCAGCTAGAAACGAAACGGCTGGTCAAAACTTTTTAGTGATTATCGATTTGGGGAATAGTATAGCATCAACGCAATTGATTGTACGCCATTTAAAAATTTGCTACTTTTTCCACGCTTGTTACGTCAGTGCTCATGGTGCTTCACCTTCCGACCATGGGCAGCGTGAGCATGAAAACTATGACGTCACCTAACTTCGAATGAACTTGCTTAAACCAATTCGGAACGCGCTAATAGTGCTGTGAGCGCTTTTCGGACCGCGGCCCTAGATTCAGACCTATATTCCTACGTCCATGGATACAAAAAGAGTTCATAATAGTCGTTTTCCAGAAAAGAACGCTATGTTACACAAAGCCATTTTATAGGCTATACATTATCTAAGATATCTTCTGAGATATCAAGTAGCCAATAATATAACTTTGTGTAACATAATGTTCTTTGTTGAAAAACGGCCAATAAAAGCTATAGAAAACATATTAGAGACAGGTGACTTGACTGCGCATGATCACATATATATATTAATGAATTTTTCTTACTCTTTTTTCTATAAATACATCTAAATGTATGCAATAAGAACATAAATGTAAAATGTGTAGCACGATTTGCACCGCTGATGACGTAACAGAGCCAACTTTGCATTGCAGCTCGCTGATTCATAGAAGATGGCGCCCGATGCGCGGTCGTGTATCACGCACCGTGATGCGTGCCAGGCGCATTTGCGAGTCAATCGGAGTGGGAACACTCCGTAAGATATCGTGGTGGTTTCGTTTTTCCAGACACTTCGCAGATCTCTCGGACAATCCGTGTTCCCCTCGCGCACACGCGATCGATTCAGACCCTCGCCGACGATTCATGTGCGCGACGACGAATGCTAGATCCACAGTAGCGTCTCTCGATGTAACGACATTTCCGGAACACAAATCGGCGTCTGCTCGTGGAATATTTGGCACCGACGACTCGTCGTTTAAAAGCACGTAAGTAACGAGTCACTTAAAAAATTGCATTTAATATCGCCGAAAACCGACGAATTTCACTGATTAAGGAGGTTAGCTTTTGTGATATCGACAATACAAAAAATACAACGGTTTGATCGAATTTTTAATCTACTGGACGGTTTTTTCGAAGTCACTTTTATTTTGCATATTGTTTGAATATTTTTGAACAAAGAAACATTGACATTAATCACACACATACACAATTGTAAATATAAGCGTGTAATATTTATTATAAATAATTTTTACAATAAGAATTATTTTTGATTGTTTAATTGAGTGTCAATTATAAAAATGTATATGAGAAAAAACCATATTACATGATCATCTTTGATTTGCAAAGAATACAATTTACAAGATTTTTAAAAATATATGTTATAGTAAAGAACAATGAGTTAAGTGATTATAAATGTATAACATATTTTTATAATAAGTACATGATATATTACTATATCATATATTTCTAGGTGTTTTTTCTATCAAGTTGCATTTAAACATGTCTGAAGAACATCAGTTACCTTCTGATTCTGATGATGATGATGAAGATTATGTTCCTGATGGAGCTGACAGTGATCCAGTTTCAGAAGTAGAATCTGAAGGTGATGTTGAAAGTGGTCCAGAAGATGAAAATGATGAAAATAAAAGAGATATAGGACAAAAAAAAGGTACAAGAAAGTCTACAAAACGAAGAGGTAAGAAGCGTAAGAAAACTTTAGATAACAAGTCAAAGATATCAGAAGAAGAGAATGGAGAGAAGGAAGAATGTGAAGAGAAGAAAAAACTTACTGAAGAAGAAGAGAAAAAGAGAGCAGATTCTCTTTGGGCTGATTTTATGAAAGATACAGGTAAGTCTGTGCATATTATCAATATATTCACAACAGAATATGAAATAGTATAATTACGTAAATTAGTTTCATAATCATCAATATGAGATAACAATTTTTATATGATCACTAAATATAACTAGCCAATTTTAATATGATAATTTAAATGTGCGTTTAATTTAAATGATTAATTTTTATATGATTTCTTGTAGCTGTTGTATCAAAGCCAAAACCGCAAAATACAATCAACAGATCAAAGGAAAGATCTCCGCCGATAGAAAAGCCGAAAATCCAGGAGAAAGTCAAGATAACTAAGGTTTTTGAATTCGCTGGTGAAGAGGTGAAGATCGAGAAAGAGGTTCCAGTCGATTCTGCGGAGGCCAGGTTATCTCTTACTGTGGCCGAAAATTCCATAGAGCCGTCGGAGTCTACTCCTCCCGCGGGAAAAGGCCCCGGAAGGGGACGCGGAAGAGGTGTGAAACGCGCCGGATTAAGCGGGATCTCCTCGGTCCTGGGACAGATCGGCAAAAAGACCAAGATCAGTACACTAGAAAAGTCCAAGCTAGATTGGGACAACTACAAAAAACAAGAAAATATTGAGGAGGAACTTAACACTCATAACAAAGGCAAGGACGGCTATCTGGAACGGCAGGATTTCCTCCAGAGAGCAGACTTGCGGCAGTTCGAGATCGAGAAGCAGCTGCGGAATTCCAGCAGACGCGCCGCGCGGTGAATCCGCGATCGCCCTCGTCCTCATACACGTCTCTTCTTCCGAAACGAGATCCTAGGATGATATCGCGGTAGAAGATATTTACTCCAACTTGCCAAAATTGCGAGCGCGCTTGCTGCACATATTTAGCCTAATTCATTCATTCGAGTTTCGCTACGTTTTGAATAGGGCTTCAATATTCATTCGGATCTGACACTATCTGGACTTCCGATTATTCGGATAGTGGATAAGTATGTGACGCTTCAAATTCGGATTTTCTAAGATATCCGGACAATTGAAGCATCAAATTTGGATCCGAATTGAAGAGCCCGAGCACAAAGATTATCGGAAGTTGTCGCACAAAAATTGACGTTAACATAGGCGATGCGATGAATATAGCTCGTCAATTTTTGTGCCTTTATTTCCGATACAAACTTACATTTACGACTCTGTCAAAAACTGTTACAACAATCTTTGTGCTCAGCCTCGAGATCGTGGCAAAGCCGACCAAATAGACATGTTTGCAGCAACTTAGATTCCACTCGAACATATATATATATATATATATATATATATATATATATATATATAT